CGATCTAATATATATATATATATATATATATACATATATATATATATATATACATATATATATTAAATAACTTCCTTTTACTTCTTAATTGAACAATTATTTATGAAAATATTTCGACAGAGTATATTGAAAACAATAATGGGCCAAAGTTTAGATATGCTTTCTACCAATTTCGGCAAGAAACCTGATCTGGATATGTTCACGATGAATCGATATAATTCCATTGTCGAGTGCAAAACATCGTACTATACTTTTATTTTGCCAATAACCGCAGCAATGCAGTTAGTAAGTGCATCTCAATTTTCTTATACGTAAAAAGATTGATTTGTTTTGATGATAATATTATAATGCGGTATTTGTAGGCTGGAATAAAAGATCCAGAGATGTTCAGGCAAGCAAAAACCATTTTGTTAGAAATGGGGCATTTGTTTCAAGTCCAAGATGATTATTTAGGTTGCTATAGCGATGCTCATGACAAGGATTGTACTGACATACAAGAGGGAAAATGTACATGGCTGATTGTTGTAGCTCTTCAACGTGCCACTCCGGAGCAGCGTAAAATTTTAGAAGTGAGTATCGTTGACTTAAACGTGCATTGTTTTGTGAAATGCTGTTGTACTAATTCTTTTTTTATTACGCAGGAATGTTACGGTTCTCCCGATCCGGAAAAAGTAAGACGCGTGAAACAACTTTTCACTGATCTTGGTTTGCCTAACACTTATTCTATATATGAAGAAGAAACATACAATCTACTAAATGTACATATACAACAGATATCACGCGGGCTTCCACATAGTCTTTTCTTGAATTTATTAAGGAAGATTTATCACAGAGTGTCATAAAATAATTGTGTATATTGAAGAAATTAACATTTTATCGTGCATTAAAATGTTGATATTTTATGCATTAATATTTTATCATTAAAGTATATGTAGAATAAAATGAAACGAGAAATTCTACTAATATTTGAAAGTATTAAAATGTTATTTCTTTTTATAAAAAAAATATAAGAACATTTTTTATAAAGTTTTATGTACAGGAAAATATTTCACTAAAAACAAGTTAATAAAAAAAAATTTATAAGCATTTGATATTATTTCTTCACTTATTTATAATGGTTTTCTTTTATTAAAATTTTATGAATGAAGATATTAATTTTACTCTTATAATATAAGAACAAATTACAATATATACAAATTATTTATAAGAATCTTTTATATAATTAAACGTAATATATATGTAAATAATACATATACATGGTAGCATGCATGTAAGGCTTTTTTGTGTATATTTTTTTCTTTATTTCTAAATAAACAAATATATTTTAATAATTAATATAATTCAATAATCTAGTATTAAAATCGTGTAATAAACTGCATATACTACATCCTGAATTTTATTTATAACAAAACCATACAAAATATGATAATTTATTATTTAAAAATACCTTGACATATTTCATGACAATCATATATCGATATGCAAATAACCGCTTCGTTAATCATACAAAGAACATACATATGTATTGCTATTCGAAGATATATATGTGTAAGCAAAGAATAGATTTCTTTTTAGTTCTCTTCTCGTATCTTTTTTCCACTTCATAATTTGAAGTATCTAAAGTTTAGTAAGATATAAGGTGTTTAATATAAAAGACATAAAAAAATCCTACTTTTATCGAAGGAAATTTTTATTTCATCATTTTTTACTTATAATTTATGACAATTTTATTCATGACGTAACGGAATTGTTATTTATCATTCTTCTTAACATTTGTTAAAACTTTAGAACGTTTTATTATAATGGATCAAACTATATGGGTAACCATCAGCGAGGAGGAAAGTCAACAGATGATGGTAATGTGGCCGGATATTGTTCATGATATCATGGAAGAGATTGAGAATTCTAACTTTCCAGATGTTGCTAAATGGGTGGAAAAAGTAGGTCATCATTGATTAAAATAATATATAAATATTATGGTCAAACAAAAAATATAAATATTATAGCCAATGTGGAATGAGTGTGTGCGCGTGTGTGTGTGTATGTGTGTGCACGCGCGCGCGCGCGCGCGTGTGTGTGTGTGTAGTATGTTAAAATTTATTTAATGGATTGATCAATTCATCTTTTAGGGTAAATTCCGTTAGGATAATTATATGTAGAAGTAGTACAAAATAATGCAATATAAAATTTCATAATCGTAAAAACAAAATTTTAATAAAAATTCCAAGTGATCAACTTACAGAAGAAAACATTCGTCTTGCACGAATTCTAGCATGGTGTCTGGAATTGGTAATTCTGTTCTTCTTTTCTTTGTGACATTGATATGTTTCATGAATTTTAATTCGAATAAATCTAATGCAAAGCTATAGTTAAAATTTTATTTATATTACCTTCAAATTAAAGACAGTGTACTGTACATATAATGAGGGATCTTCATTAAAAGTTCCAAATTAAAGGCAGTGTACTGTACATATCATGAGGGATTTTCATTAAAAATATTAAATGTTGCGATTATGATTTGTAATATTAAGACATTTATTTATTATTATACAGTTGCTTTTTAATGGTAATCGACGATATACAGGACCGATCGTTACTTCACCGAGGCAAACCATGTTGGTACCTATACAATGATATAGGCCCAGCGGCAATTAATGATGGTTTATTGTTAGAATATTCTATATTTTATCTAATTAAAAAACACTTCAAAGGGAAAGATTGTTACGTTAATATACTAGAAATGTTCTATAATGCGAGTAAAAATATGTTCTTGCCAGTCGCACATTATGTAAACTACTTTTTTCCTTTCTAATCGAACAAATATATATGAAAGTATTTCAACAGCTCACATTCAAGACAATTATAGGACAAAGTTTAGATTTGCTCTCTACCAGTTTTGGCAAGAATCCCAATCTGGATCTATTTACAATGAGTCGATATAATTCTATTTGTCAGTACAAAGCATCGCAATATTCTTTTATTTTGCCAATGCAGTTAGTAAGTGTATCTCAGTTTTCTTACACACGAAAAGACTGAATTGCTTTGATGATAATATTGCATTACGTTACTTGATCTAGGCCGGAATAAAAGATTCAGAGATGTTCAGACAACCAAAAACCATCTTGTCTGAAATGGGACATTTGTTCCAAGTCCAAGATGATTATTTAAGTTGCTATGAAATCCGATGTCCATGGCAAGGATTATACTGATATACAAGAAGGAAAATGTACGTTGTTGATTGTTGTAACTCTTCAACGTGCCAGTCCGGAGCAGCGTAAAATTTTAGAAGTGAGTATCATTGATTTAAAAGAGCTTCGAGAAATGCTGTTGTACTAATTCTTTTTCTTATAACGCAGGAATGTTACGGTTCTTCCGATCCGGAAAAAGTAAGACGCGTGAAACAACTTTTCACAGGTCTTCATTTACCAAAAATTACGAAGAAGAAACATATAATCTACTAAAAGTACATACACAGCGGATATCATGCAGGCTCCCACGTCGTCTTTTCTTAACTTTATCATGGAAGATTTTTCACAGAATGTCATAAAATAATCGTATATGTATATTGAAGAAAGAAACTAATATTAATAAATATTTATTATGCATTGATATTCTATCGTTAAATTTAAAATACAGAATAAGATGGAACGAGAGGTATTCTGCCGATGTTCAAGAGTACTGAAATGTTATATTTTGTTGTGAAAAATATCAAAATATTTCTTATAAAGATTTATGTGCAGAAAAATATTTCACTTGAGAAAAATCAATTAAAAAATTTTGAAACATTTAATAATATTACTTCTAAAATTATTTATAATGTAATTGTTTTATAAAAAATTTTGTGAAAGTAAATATTAATTTTAATTACAAAAAATTACAATGTCAAGAATATTTGTAAGAATCCTTTATATAATTAATTGCAAGGTATGTAAATTTTACGTACACAAGGTAGCAGGTAACACTGTAATATATATTTTCTTCATTTTTAAATAAATAAACGTGCATTTTAACGATAAATTCTAATATTAAAATTATGCAATAATATTAAATGTTCTTCGTTCTGTATAATTATTCGGATTATAATTTTTCGGATAAAAACAACATACAAAATATATTTTTTCAGATAAAGAAACAGCAAGGACAATTTGTTATTTAAATTAAAATCTTTCGATATTTATATGCCAGCCATATGAATTATTAATGTGTAGACTGTTTTGTTGATAATAAAAAGTTCATACAATATGTATTGTTATTCAATGTATCGGGTATATATAACCAAGCGAAGAACAGATCAATCTTTAGTACTTTTCATGTCTTCTTTCCCACCTTGTCCTTTAAAGGTATTAACAAAATTTAATAAAATACCAAGTGCTTCATGTAAAATATAGAAATTTTATATAAAAAATATATAAGAAATTTTTATTTCATTTTTTTGGATTGTAACTCATTACAATTTTATTCATGACGTGACTAGATCGTTATTATTACTTATTATTTCAATTATTTGTCATTATACCTTGTCAAACTAACGTTTGTCAAAACTTTAGAACGTTTAATTGTAACATAAATGGCTCATTCCGTGATTCCAACGATACAAGTAACAAGCAAGGAAGAAAGTCAGCAATTAATGGTAGTGTGGCCGGACATTATTCGTGATATTAAAGAAGCGATTGAAAATTTTGACGTTCCAGATATTGCAAAATGGATAGAAAAAGTAAGTAATTACACTGATCGACAAAATTTAGGAGGTAGGGTGGTCTTGTACTTTGAAAGATGTTTCCGTAGGATTTTGATGCGCTGAAAACGATTACGTTGTCCGTTTTTTTCCATCACTCTCCATTTGTTCAATAATCGCAAAAACAGTTTTTTCCGAAAGTAACTTCTTTAATAATTTTTTCTGGCTAAACGAAAATGGTATCAAAGTCTGTTTTACGGCACTTAACTTAGAAATGTTCCAACAATATTAAAAATATTTTTTCGATGCTTTTAAAAATGTTTTATGCAAACAGCAAACAACAAGACTTTGGAAAAATCCTAAAAAACCAGAATAAATTTACAAATTTTGAAATATAAAACTTAATAATTCGAAAAAAAAATTGTAAAAAATATTTGACAATTTATACTTGTGGCTGTATGTGTCTAGTTTAAATCCCTTTTTGAAAAATTAATTTCCAATAATTTATATATATAAAGTGCCAAACCAGCCCAATTTGGTTTTATATTTCAAAATTTGTCAATTTTTTTCTGGTTTTTACGATTTTTCCAAAGCCTTTGTGTTTGCTGTTTGCATTAAACATTTTTATAAGCATTGAAAAAGTATTTTTAGTATTGGAACATTTCTAAGTTAAATGCTGCAAAACAGACCTCGATATCATTTTTTGTTTAGCCGGAAAACACTGTTTTTTCGATTAATTAAAAATGGAGAATAATGGAAAAAAAATGGACAACATAATCGCTTTCAGCGCATCAAAATCCTGCGGAAACGTTTTCTAAAGTTCAAAGCACAAGACCCTCCCTAAATTTTGTCGGCCTGTGTTATTGATTAAAAACTAAATAATAGCCAAGTAGGCTGTAACAGATGACGTGATCAAAACTTATTTGAAGGACTGATCGATTCAGAATAAATTCTTTCAGCATGATCATAAAAAAATACAATATAATGCAATATCATTGTGACAACATTAATAATCATGAATATAAAAATATTAAATAAGAATTTATTCTTTCTCTTTCTTTTTCTCAAATAGTGTATAAATTTAGAAAAATAAAACATCATCGAAGTTTAAAAATATCTTAAGGAGAACTGTTAAAAATAAATAGAATCAGTTCCAGATTTTGTAGACAATAAAAAAGACGTCAAGTATTTTTAATATTTTAATAATTCAAAAACTATAATAATATAATGAGACATAAAACACTATACATTAAAATTGAACATATACATACATTGATGTTTCTTTATGTAGGTACTACAATACAATGTTCCACATGGAAAGAAAAATCGCGGTTTAGGGCTAATTTATGCCTACAAGTTACTAGAACCAAATGATCAACTGACAGAAGAAAACATTCGTTTAGCCCGGATTCTAGCATGGTGTGTGGAATTGGTACGTAATTCGTTACTCTTTTTTTGATGTCGATATCTTTCATAATCTTTAAGGGCCGGTTGTTGCAACTTTTGATTACCTGTGAGGTAAATCTGGCAATCCGCGCATGTGATTGGGTAATCTTATTACTTATCCAATAGGTAAAACTTATCAAAATGTGGAACAACCGGCACTAAATGAATCACTCACACACACACACACTCACACACACACACACACACACACACACACACACACACACACACACACACACACACACACACACACACACAAATGCAAGATATACCTAAGGTTTTAGTTATAATACCTTCAAATAAAAAAGAGACAGTATAGTGTATAATAATCATTTTAATTATTAAGTATGATCATGAATTAAATGGTAACATTTATCTATACAGACGCAAGCTTATTTTCTTATAATGGATGATATAGAAGACCAATCGTTATTTCGTCGAGGCCAACCATGTTGGTACCGATACAATGATCTCGGTTTAGCAGCAGTCAACGACTGTTTTATGATACAGGGCTCCGTATTTTATTTAATTCGAAAACACTTCAAAGGAAAGGATTGTTATGTTAATCTACTAGAAACATTCCAGGATGTGAGTGAGGATATATCTTTCTTTTTTCCGATCATGTCCACATTATCTAAATTCTTCCCTTTTCCGTTTCAATCGAGCAATTATATATGAAAGTATATTTCGACAGGTCACAATGAAGGCAGCAATGGGCCAAAGTTTAGATTTGCATTTTTCTAATTTTGGTAGAAAACCAAATCTGGATTTGTTTACGACGAATCAATATAATTCCATTATCGAATTCAAAACAGCGTATTGTACAACTTATTTACCAGTAATTTTAGCAATGCATTTAGTAAGTGTACCGTAATTATATACATATTATACACGAAAATTGATTCGCTTGATAATAATTGATAAATAATGATGTGTTACTTATTTTAGGCTGGAATAAAAGATCAAGACATGTTCAAGGAAGCAACAACCATCTTAACAGAAATAGGATGTTTCTTTCAAATTCAAGACGATTATTTGGATTGTTATGGAGACTTTGAAGTCTGTGGCAAAGATAATACTGATATCCAAGAGGGGAAATGTACGTGGTTTATTGTTGAAGCGCTTCAACGCGTTACTCCACAGCAGCGTAAAATATTAGAAGTGAGTATCGTTTGTTAAAAGTGTTGCTTCATCGAACGCTGTTATATTAATTCTCTCTTTTTTTATTACATAGGAGTGTTACGGAGATTTGGATCGAGAGAAGGTACAACGCGTGAAACAACTGTTCAATGACTTGAATCTGCTGGACGCTTATTTCGGATACGAAAAAGAAACACATAATCTCATAAATGTACACATAATGCAGATGTCGTCCGGACTTCCACATAATCTTTTTTTTGATATATTAAAGAAGTATTATCACAGAGTATCATAAACAACCATATATTGACAAAAGAAACTAATGTAATACTTTATTTATTATAGAATAAGATAGAACAAATGTGTTCTGTCATTGCAAGAGAATGAATTAAAACGTTATTTCAGAGAGTCAAATACATTAAAAAAATCTTTTACAAAATTTTATATACGGGAAAATATCTAAATAAAATATTTCTGAAGCATTTTATATTATCACTTCTTAAATTATTTATAATTCCTGTTTATGTCATAAAAAAATAAAATTTATTTTATAGACAAAGATATTAATTTTAATTAGAAGAACGAATTGTAATGTGCAGGCAAGTTTCATAAAAATTTATGTAGTTAAATGCAATATGTAAATGTTATATATACATGACATAATGTAAGTAAATCCATTTATGTACATATATTCTGTTATTTCTGAATGGATAAATGCTTATTTTAATGATCAACCTTGGAGTGTTCAAATTATCGAGCCGAACCTCGAACCGCGACCATTTCGGCATTTTATTGTTTTTTTCCGATCAAAAATTTATGTAGTAGTCTGTGCATTCTGTTTATACGATTTTTTTAAATGAAAACATACAAAATGATAACACAGGCCTGCAAAATTGGAGGTGTTGAAAGTTGATTGGGATTTAACTATGTTTTCTTACGTAATTTTTCGCGCTGAATCCGAATCCGGCGGCAGAATTGCTCTATCACGTCAGGTTTTTGAGAAAAGTGAGGTTAAAGGTGTCAAAATTGACGTTTTTTGACATATTTGTGATTTTTTTGCTAGCGAAGTAAATTTTTTTTTCTACTTTCGTTTACGCCATCTGAAAGTGTCAACATTTATCTTCAAAATATATTTTTTTTAACGCCGTACGTTTTTTTCACCGAGATAATCTCTGTGTAGTCACGCAAAAAAAACATTTTTGACACAAAATGTTTGTGTGATTACGC